CTTAACCCAAAAAGGCAAGTTTCAGAGCTTTTATAGAGGCTCTTGTCTTGTAAAAGGTGCTTCCTTGATCCATTGTGCACTTGCACTGCTCAGCCTTTTGTTTCCGTGATTACACACGCTCTCCTTCTCCCCACGCTACAGTCCCTTTTTGTGTGTCCCACTGGGCACGCTCTGTCCATCGACTGAATGGACACGGGCACGTGTGCCCTGCTCTGCCCTGCCAAACGTTTGTGCGCGGCCTTTGGGGCGGACGCAGGAGGATTGAAAAGCTTTTCTGTGCACAAAGGTCACTTTTTTTCCCCCCTTTGCAGTTTGTTCTCTGCTAGTCTGCTGCATTGCTGCAGCTTTCGTCTGGGACTGTAATAGATACTTGGAGGATATGTTTGTGGGCTAGTGCTGTGACTGAACAAGTCTAGGAGTACGGATCCGTGTCCTGTCCCACTGGTTTTGGTTTGCTAACAAAATACTCTCTGCCTCATGAGCCAGGTCTGTGTGCTCAGTTTGAACGCTGACAAAAATAAAGAGCATTTCATTATTGTTACTAGTTGTGTAGAAGTGCCTCCTGCTGCGATGCCTTTTAGACACCCCCGCGGCTGTTACCCTGTGGAAGGAAACAGACTGAGATTTTTGCCTCCTGTGCACTTTACTCATTGGCTTAAGGATAAAATTGAAGCTTTCCTAAAAGACTGGGTAGCCTTAAAAAAGGATGAATACATGGGATTAAAAACCTGTGAGATAACCCGTGAGATAATTTTTCTAATCCTGTGTAGAAACTGCTAATAAATGGATTTGCTGGTGAAGGTAAAAGGAGAACCTGAATCTAGAAGGTCTCATTGTACATTTACCTTTTGAGTTGTTGAACTCTGAGGATCAGGTAATTAAATTCATGAGCCAGAGAAGAGATGAAAGTAGGTAGTAGGAGATACCATCCTTCAAAAATGTTAAAGTTCCAGAAGGAATTGAAATTCCTGTATCACCTGGATGAACTTGGCCATGGCCTTGTATCTCCTGTTTCCCCACGGTGACGGTGTTGCTTCTGAGCTATACACACCAAGGAGCAGTTGTGATTTTGTGGCATAAAATAATGCTCCATAACTGCGATGCTTTTTTTTTTTTTAAAGTAATAGTAAAATAGTAAAACCATATAAAGTTACTTGGGAGAAGGAAGATCCGATCACCTGCTGAAGAGGCAGCTCTCTGCAGTTAAAAGCAGATGGAATTGTGTGTCTTGTCAGGGATTCTGCCAATGCACCTGCAAAAGGAGGGTGGGTCTTGTCACAAAGCTCAAGATCCCCACCTTCTTGGTATTATGTCAAGTGATGTCTGTGTTTCTTGCAGCACAAGATGTGAAGATAATACGTAGCCTACTGCATAAGCATTCTTTTAATTGCAGAAAATGTAACTTCCAAAATGCCAGGTGGAGGGGGATCTCTGGGGATTCCTGCGTAGAAATGAAGAACTGAAGAGAGTAACGATGGGCCAGGTGTCTGCCTTCCGTCAGGATATTCCCTGTGTCACATCTGGTGCCAGCATAACTGCAATCCCTAAATGATAAGGAAGCTTTGCAGTCAGGCTGAGCTGTCAGGTGAACCAGGGATCAAGAATTATCGTGATGGTTTGATGGCACGTGAAGGATGCTGTGCAACGCGGCGTGGTTCTGACGAGCAGAGGCTCAATTAGGTTTTCCCAGACGCAGGCTGACACGCTGGGCAAGCGGGACCTGCGTCATGCCAGGCATCGGGCATGAGGAAGTGTTCTGGTCCGTCAAACGTAAAATGACAGAATCATTTGTAATCTCTCATTACTAATCCCTGTGGTTTTTACGTCTACGCCTCCCTTGTGGCATTATTCAACAGCTGATAGCTTTCTTTTCTTGCCAGCTACTTAAAAATGAAGTACACCGTTAATGGTTTTAGGAGTTAACTGAAATCTTTTACTTAGAGCTTTATAGGAAAGAAAAATAGGTCAGATCTTAAATACAGCTACTAATGACTAAGTGGCTTTTACTAATTATTTGCACATCATTGCAACTTACCACAGGTGAGTGCAGCCGAAGTTCATTATAGATTCTTTCCTAGATAGGAGGTGGTTTCTCTCAGTAAGTAATCAGCTTGAGAATATGTTACAGAAGGCACATAACTGCATACAAAGTTTTTTTCCTCTAAATTATTTAGAAGTTGAGAGCGACTGTATTTAACTCTTATGTTATGGAAAAAAGGGCACCAATAGGAATAAAATACTCCTCTCCGGTACCCCCTCGTAGATGCTGCCTGCCTACAGTGCAGGCTTTGCCTTTCCTACACACGTTTTAAGTTTGTTGGGGGTAAACAGCTATTCATCTGTCCACTCACGGGATTCACAGTACATCAACTCCATTTTGTCTGCCCTGCAACACAGCGTAGTGCAAACATCGGATGACCTTCCTTGTGATCTCATCTAAACCTGAATCTGTGCCATAAAGCTGTTTCTCTTCTCGGTGTCGTTCTGAACACGTCGTCTTTGCTTTCTGGTGAGGCCTGAGCCACCTCAGAAACGCAGGGACTCTGGGCTTGCCTGGTCAGGGAGCAGTACTCCCATTGAATATGCAGTGCAGGCTCGTGTTTTAAATGCCTGAAACCTCAATCTGTAATCCAGGTGTTCTTCCAGTCATGCCTGCGCCTCTCCTCGGTTGAGTCATTTCGTATGAGAATAGTTAGTATATTAAAGAAGTACTTGACCATCTTTTTTTGTGCACATGCTGCATATTGGGGAAGGTTTCTCAAAAGTTTTCTTACAAGTGGATTCCCATGTGGTGCCTGTTAGTCACAGCTAATTACAGAGGCTGGTGATTGAATATATTGGAGCTCAGGCTCCCCTCCTCCTCCTCCCCCAGTGCTTCAGAAGAAAATAAAATAAAAAACCTGCAGACAAATCCAGGTTTTTCTGTGGTCATAGTCTCCCAAAGAGCTCCAGAGAGATCACAGATGTGGTTTCATGTTTCAGGTTTAACTACGGTGTAATAACTACAGTATTATCTGCAGGAGGAATGCAAGTGGGGAAAGAATCATTAATTGACAGTGAAAAGTTCAACCTATGCGCCGTGTGTTTGGTTTTTTAAGCAGCTGAATGTTTAGCCAAACCATATTTTAACTTTTAACTGCAGCCCTGAAGGTTACAATAATCTTGATATGTTAAAACCTAGGAACATTATAGGAAAGGAAATGTAGATAACGTGTTTCAGAAAGGTCAATCATAGAAAAGCAGAAACACTTGTGATTTAGTTAAAGCTAAGACACACGCTTCAGTTTTCATTCAGTTACATACAAGCCTCCAGTGAGGTACACTGGCCTTACTTTCCAACATACAAACTTTTTTAGGTTTCAGTGGGTGCAGGGTAAGCCAGCAGTGAGAGGTGAAGCTTCATTGCTGTTGCCTTGAGGAACCCATAGCGCACATAAAATGTTTAACTTGCTAACATCTAATTTTCCCATCTTTTGTTAGCATTCATCCAGTATCCAGGAAGTCTGCTAGGTTGAACAAGTTCCTGTGTGTGTAATATAAGTATTAGTTCAGTAGGACTACACGGGATACATCTATTATTTGTTACTAAGGCACCAGTGACCTTCCTGCTCCTATATTAGCAGCGCCTGCTGTTTTCCCATACTGCCGATTGTCAGGAATTCAGACCATACATATAACCGGGTATAATCTTCATTGGTCAAAGTATTGTCTCTGGAAAACAAAGTAATTACGAACAATAAAAATTAGAGATGTAATCTCAGCA